GGAGCTTTAAAAACAGATTAAATCACTTCCCTGCTTCCAGCACTTCTAGACTCCTGCCTGTCTCTGACCTCACGCTCCTCCTAACCCACTGCGTTACTCAATATGCTGCAGCCAAACTGTTATCGGTGGAGGGTGCCCAGGTTCTTGGCGTCTTGGACAAAACACACAGACAAAGCAAGGAAAGAATAAAGCAACAAAAGCAGAGATTTATTGAAAACGAAAGTACACTCCACAGGGCAAGAACGACCCAAGCAAAGAAACTCAAGAGGCTCCTTACAGAAGTTTCTGGGGTTTAAATACCTTCTAAAGGTTTCCCATTGGTTATTTGGTGTACACCCTGTGTAAATAAAGGAGCCACCCCTGATCAGTCTGATTGGTTGTGGAAAGTGACCAATGAGAGGCTGAAGTTACAAGTTACGCCCTATGCAAATGTCTGATTGGTTGTGGAAAGTGATCAATCAGAGGCTGAAGTGAAGTTACAAAGTTATACTCCTATGCAAATGAAGACTTGGCCCCCGGAGCAGCCTGACTGGTTGTGGGAAGAAGGGACCAATTAGAGGTACTTTCAGTTTTTCATCTGCCACACAGAAAAGCTGGGATTGCAAAGGGAGTAGCCTCTGGTCCTTTTGTTACTTTGAGGTGGAAAGGGGGTTTTCTTTTGATTTACTTCTAGAAAGTCAGTGTGAATCAGCCTTATGTTCCCTGCCTCCAGACCCTATTCTCCTGCCTCAAGACTAGCTGGCTTCCCTTCAGTGCCACAGCACCAAGCTCCTCATCACTCCAGGGCCCTTTACTCTGGTCTCTTTCTGCATAAATTCTCTTCGCCCAGGCTTTTGTGTGGCTGGCTCCTTCTCCTCACTCACAGCTTGCTCAAACATCACTTCCTCAGAGAAGACTTCGCTGATCATCTTATCTGGAATAACTCTCCAGTCCTTTTTTTTATCCCTTGATTCTATTTTACTTCTTGTCACTGATTTTTCTTTTTTTCTTTTTCTTTTTTTTGAGATGGAGTCCCACTCTTGTTGCCCAAGCTGGAGTGCAATGGCGCGATCTCGGCTCACTGCAACCTCTGCCTCCCGGATTGAAGCGATTATCCTGCCTCAGCCTCCTGAGTAGCTGGGATTACAGGCACCCATCACCACGCCCGGTTAATTTTTGTATTTTTTCAGAGAGACGGGGTTTCACCATGATGGCCAGGCTTGTTTCGAACTCCTGACCTCAAGTGGTCTGCCCGCCTTGGCCTCCCAAAGTGCTGGAATTACAGGTGTGAGTCACCGTGCCTGGGCTTGAATTTTCCTTTCTTTTTCTTTTCTTTTCTTTTTATTCATTTATTGCGGTCTCCCTCCACTAGAACATGCATGTACTGAAAACAGGGACTTGATCTGTTCTGTTCATCATATATCAATGCTTAGAACCAGGCCTGGCACACAGGGCAGCCATAAAATATTTGTTGAAAAAATACAATATACTTACAAAATACAGATTTGTTTGTCTGCTCATCGCCTGTTTTCCCACCAGGTATGAACCCCACAAATACCCGGACTGCCTATTTCCTATGTATGCTTGATATATAGTAGGCCCTTGTATTAAGCATGTCTTTTGCTTTTTTTTTTTTCTTTTTTTTGAGACGGAGTCTCCCTCTGTTGCCCAGGCTGGAGTGCAATGGTACAGTCTCTGCTCACTGCAACCTCTGCCTCCCGGGTTCAAGTGATTCTTCTGCCTCAGCCTCCTGAGTAGCTGGGATTACAGGTGCCCGCCACCACACCTGGCTAATTTTTGTCTTTTTAGTAGAGACGGGGTTTCACCATGTTGGCCAGGCTGGTCTCGAACTCCTGACCTCGTGATCTGCCCGCCTCAGCCTCCCAAAGTGCTGGGATTACAGGCGTGACCCACCATACCCAGCGCCTTTGCTTTTCTGTACTCAGATGCTTTGAGATCTTGGGGCCTTGCTCTTCCCAGAGAGACTGCCCCGCCCAGGGTTAACCGGTTCCTGGAGATAGTGGACAACTCACCCAGGAGGTCCCTTGCAAACGCACACCACCCAATCCAGAGCCCACACCCACAAACACCTCCTTTATTAGGCTCTCTTACTCAGGACCAGTATCCAACTGTCCTGATCATCCCAAGACCAGACACCAGACAACTAGGGAAAGTCCTTATACCCCAGCACCTGCTGCAGTTGTCAAACCAACCAATCCTAAGCCTGCTTACCTTGCCTCACCCATTCCTTCCCATGGAAACCACAATAAAGGCTCTTACTCATGTTTTCCCCTCCTTCCCTCTGCCTCCTGACCAACCCAGTGCTTTCCTGTGCGGCTCTGCACGGCGCAACCTGCCTCTTGTTTCTAGAACAAAGATCTTTCTCCATGATAGTCATTTCCATGTTGGCATACCATGTCAGATTTCAGGACCCTTGAAAGAGCTCTCTGCCGGGCGCAGTGGCTCACATCTGTAATCCCAGCACTGTAGGAGGCTGAGGCGGGTGGATCACTTGAGGTCAGGAGTTCAAGACCAGCCTGGCCAACATGGTGAAACCCCATCTCTTCTAAAAATACAAAAATTAGCCGGGCGTGGTGGCTCAGGCCTGTAATCCCACCACTTTGGGAGGCCGAGGCTGGTGGATCACTTGAGGTCAGGAGCTCGAGACCAGCCTCACCAACATGGTAAAACCTCATCTCTACTAAAAATACAAAATTAGTCGGGTATGGTGGCAGGCGCCTGTAATCCCAGCTACTTGGGAGGCTGAGGCAGGAGAATTGCTTGAACCCAGGAGGCAGAGGTTGCAGTGAGCCGAGATTGTGCCTCTGCACCGCAGCCTGGGCAACAAGAGCGAAACTCCGTATTTAAAAAAAAAAAAAAAAAAAAAAAAAAAGAAGCAGTGAGTTTTGTGCATCCTCCCCTGCCACAGGACAGGATTGTGACTGCTTTGATGGACCGTATATGTCAGAAATGCCTCTATGTGACTTCCAAAGTTAAGTCAGAATAGATGATCTTGATCTCCTGACCTCGTGATCCGCCTGCCTTGGCCTCCGAAAGTGCTGGGATTACAGGCGTGAGCCCCCGTGCCCAGCAGCTGCGTTTTCTTGTACTTCAAAATAGACATTGATTAAAAGAGCATTGGGGAAAAAGATTGGGGGGTAGTATCCACTTGTGGGTTTATGAGGAGGATTTCTGGAATGCATGTGTTTAAAGCCCTAAACCGGGCTGGACTCATGCCTGTAATCCCAGCACTTTGGGAGGCCGAGGCAGGTGGATCACCTGAGGTCAGGAGTTCAAGACAAGCCTGGTCAACATGGTGAAACCCCATCTCTACTAAAAATACAAAAAATTAGCCAGGCGTGCTGGTGGGCGCCTGTAATCCCAGCTACTCAGGAGGCTGAGGCAGGAGAATCGCTTGAACCTGGAGGTGGAGGTTGCAGTGAGCCATTGAACTCCAGCCTGTGCCACAAAAGCGAAACTGCGTCTCAAAAATAAAAATAAAAATAATGCCTCAAGCCCAGGGCTGGCCCACAGAAACTGCCATGGCTGTGTTTGCATGTCTTTGATTAGGGGGACTGAAATCTCAGGAAAGGGGCCTCAGGCCTCTGCTGCAAATGCAAGCAAAGTAAGAGGTTAGGCTTTTCAGCATCATGCCTCCCTCCAGCATGCAAGCCACAAGTCACATCCTTTCACCCTGGTATCCCAGGCCTTGGCACCCGGGGCAGCACACTTCTGTGGGAACAGATCTGTGGGCAAAGCAGAGGCACCTTGGTCTGCAGTTACAGCCAGCTACCACCAGGTGGGTTCTGGAGCCTGGGATAGGGATCCTGAGATTTGTTAGCTGGGACTTCACAGGACAAAATGACCTATGGAGAACAATTTAGATTTCTGTTCAAGGGCCTCACTGACTTCTCTGAGTATCTGACTCTGGCAGCCCCTACTTCAGGAAGCCAGAGTTATTTCCTGGGAGTCTCAACATGTGGGCAGGACAAGCCACCTGCCACTTCACCCCTTGACATCCCTTGGGGGACTCAGGACAGATAGACTTTAGTCAAGGGAACAAGAGGCCTGGGTGGGGGCTGCATGGGAGGGGGGAATGCAGGGGCCACTGGAGGCAATGGGAGCCTCATGGTGGAGTGTCATAGGAGAAGCGAGGTTCCAGTGGGAGGAGAACCAAGGGTGACTTCCCCCACTGGCCTGAGGGAGTGAACCCCAGATGGGGCCTCCAAGTGAACTCATGAGGTGTCCAACCCTGCCTGTGCCCCAATTTCCACGGTGCAGGACAAATCCCTCAAAGTATGGGGGTCTTTGGGAGTACACCCCTGAAGTTCCAAATGGGGCTCGTCTGTGTGTCCAAGTGTGAATTCCCAAGTGTCTGCAGGGTGTGCATGTGTGCACATGTGTGCTGGATGAAGACGCAGAGTTGTACCTGTGGGATGCCGGGAAGCCACACACGCAGCGGGTTGAAGATGACACCCTCATAGCTGGTGTATGCTGGAGCACAGGTGTGAACTCACACTCCCCTGCACGCACCTCCTTCCTGGAGAGGAGAGGGGAGCCTGGCCCTATAGGAACCATGAAGCCCTCTGGCTTTAACTAGAGGCCTTCCTGTTCCTGGTCTTTTTCAAGAGGGTCCGGAAATGGGTGCCCAGAATATTTGGAGAGTCTAGGCATTGGGACGGCACTTGGTGGCCATCTTGGCCCATTCCCGCTGGCTGCTTGAACATCTTCAGCTTGACCATTAAAATGAAAAAAAAAAAAAAAAAAAGTAAATATTTGGGAGAAGTTACAAAGTAAGGCACTGATGTTTGAGCCAGCCGGAAACCACGAGAATCTCCCCAGCCCCTTTCGAGATTTCCAATTGCTTTGCACTGTGACCCATCTCACTGGGATCTGACACCCCACTCGTGACAAAGAAAATTTTCCTGTACACACCAGCAAGTGGAACAACTCTTACCTGCCCCTTTCCAGTTTCTAGACACTTTCTATATTTCCTTCATACAGATAAAAGTGTCCACCCATTCAGATGCTAAATGATAAATGTTCCAAGTAATTTTTATTTTAGAATACAAGAGAGGTACAAATGTATTTACAGTTGTACATATACAATCAAATAATAATATATCACAGTTTTGTAAATATCATTTTAGATAAATATTTACAAGGTTAAAGTGACCATTTTCTGGAAGTAGAACACAGTGTCTTGAAAACTCTATACATTTTATACTTTTCATTAATATTATAGTTTATTTTACAAAACGCCCCACGGGAATCCTGGTAAATGACTGCAAAGTGTGAGAGGCGACACCAGAGGGCGCGCACGGCCAGAATTTGAGGAAACGGGTAGGGACCGAGGGAAGTGTGGGCAGACAGGGCGGAACTCCTGGGACTGGGCACAGCTCGGAAGTGCCTCCTGGCCACAGAAGCCACCTTAACCTCCCGGGCAGCAGTTCCAGTCTTGCCCTCCTCTCGCTGGGGTGTGTGTGTTGGAAGGGGTTGGGGGGAACTTTCGCCTTCCAAGGCATGATGTCACAGCTGAAGGGGAGGGGGCATTGGTCCAACTCCCGCATTTTACAGATGGGGAAACTGAGGCCCAGAGAGGTGCAGGGTCTTGCTTGGGGTCCTACAGAGGATTTCCGTTGTGCCTCCACTTTCAACGTGCCTGGTGCACTGCAAAGATGCAGGTCTCTCTGGGTCTCTTCCGGCTGCCGATGGACCCCAGTAGCCCGCACCTGTCAAGGTTGCGTAAAGACTCCCAACACTTCAGGACACCAGTCCCAGGGGCCGGAAGAGGAGGTGGCGCCCCCACAAGTCCCGCGCCCGGCCGCACCCGGACAAGGAGGTCGCCCTCCCTTCATTCCGAAGCACAGGACTCTCGGTGGCGGAGGTGGGGACTCCCCTTCCTCTGCTGAGGGGTCCTCGGGGCGCTAAATTTCGCTTTCTTGGCACCCACGAGGGGGATGCCGGTCTGGACGCCCGGTTCTACAACAGGAGGGAGATTCGGGGGCTAGGCCAGGCTGGGGGACCCCCTCCCAGAGGAAGCGGCCGAGTAGCCGCACCATCTGCGTGACCTGGGTGAGGGACGCCGCCCTCAGTGTCCTCATCTGCGACACGAGCCGAGGCGGGGGTGCCTGGGGTACGTCTCCGGGGCGCACCCCCAGCGCGCGGGGCTCCGCGGGGGCGCCGGGCCGGGGGTCGGGGCGGGAGGGCGAGTCGCGCTGCGGGGCCTGGTTGCCGAGGGCCCGGGAGCGCGCGGGGCCGGGCGAGGGCGCGGGCGCGCTCACAGCACCATGGCCGGCAGGTGGTGCGCGGCGGCGGCGGCGGCTGCGGCGGCGAGAGCGGGCGCGTGCGCGTGCGGAGCGGGCAGCGCGGGCGAATGTGCCTGCAGCGCGGCGCTGGGCGGCCGGTGGCGCGCGCTCTTCTGGTGGGCGCGCAGGCCGGCCAGCTGCGAGTAGGCACTCTGGCACACCTGGCACTTGTAGGGGCGCTCGCCCGTATGCAGGCGCACATGGTTGCGCAGCGTGGACGACTGGCTGAAGCGGCGGTTGCAGAAGCGACACACGAAGGGCTTGTCCAGCGTGTGGATGCGCATGTGCGAGCGCAAGTTGCTGCGCGAGTTGAAGCCGCGGTGGCAGATGACGCAGCGCATGCGGCCCGCGGGGCCCGCCGCCGAGTCCGCCGGGTGGAAGTCCTCTGGCCGCGGGGCGGGGCGGGAGAAGGGAGACGAGGAAGGGGAGAGAGCAGCCCCGTTAGAACCGGCGCCCCGCGGCCCGGGCCCCCAGCGCCCCCCTCCCGGGGGGGATCCGACCCTGAGGGCGGGTGCTGCTTGGACGGTGGCAGACGGACGGGAGGGACAGCGAAGGGTCCCCCTGCTGGGGGATCCAATAGGAGTTGGACTCACGATCGCGATGCGAGACCTCCGAGACTTAGCGACTCAGCCTAGCTAAACCTCAGCTTTCTCATCCGTAAAATGGAAACCTAGCACTGCCTCTTCGGGCGTACGATTGCCCGAGAGGATGAGAAAAGACGTCTATGGAAGGTCTCTGCGCTAAGCACCCGACCTGCCTTAACCAGTGCCTGAGAGATGCCTGGATTGGAGCAGGCCTTCCGTAAAGGGGAGCAACTATGATGACCCCCACCCCCAAACCTTTCATTAACTCATCCCACAAACATTTACTGAGTGCCTACTCTGTACCAAGGAACTGCGCCTCGGTTTTCTCCTTCCTGAAATGGAGGTACTACTAGCATCGCCCTCGTAAGACTGGTAATGATCAGTGAAAAAAGATTTTTTTTTTTTTTTTTTTTTTTTTGAGACGGAGTCTCCCTCTGTCGCCAGGCTGGAGTGCAGTGGCGCGATCTCCACTCACTACAGCCTCCGCCTCCTGGGTTCAAGTGACTCTCCTGCCTCAGCTTCTCGAGTAGCTGGGACTACAGGTGTGCGCCACCACGCCCAGCTAATTTTTGTATTTTTAGTAGAGACAGAGTTTCACCATGTTGGCCAGGATGGTCTCAACCTCTTGACCTCGTGATCTGCCCACCTCGGCCTCCCAAAGTGCTGGGATTACAGGCGTGAGCCACAGCGCCTGGCCCAAAGTTTTGTTTGTTTGTTTTTTTCGAGACAGGGTCTCGCTCTGTCATACAGGCTGGAGTGCAGTGGTGCCATCTCAGCTCACTGCAGCCTCGACCTCCCAGGTTCAAGTGATCCTTCCACCTCAGCCTCCCAGGTAGCTGGGAACACAGGCTCGTGCCAGCACACCTGGCTAATTTTTAAATTTTTTGTAGATCTGGGGTCTTGCTATGTTGCCCAGGCTGGTCTGGAACTCCTGGGCTCAATGATCCTCCTGTCTCTGCCTCCCAAAGTGCTGGGATTACAGGCATGAGCCACTATGTGCAGCCTAGAGAAATTAATGTTTGTAAAACATCAGCTGCAGAGCAAGGACTTAATAAACAGTAGCTCACCAGCTCAGGTTCGTCCTCCAAAAATAAGGACCACTGACCACAGTACCTCATGCCTGTAATCCCAGCACTTTGGGAGGCAGAGGCAGGAGGATCATTTGAGCCCAGGAGTTCCAGACCAGCTGGGCAACATGGCGAGACCCCATCTGTACAATAAATTTTAAAAATTAGCCAGGTGTGGTGGTGCATGACTGTGGTCTTAGTTACCTGGGAGGCTGAGATGGGAGGATAGCTTGAGCCCGGGTGGTTGAGGCTGCAGTGAACCAAGATAGTGCCACTGCACTCTAGCCTGGGCGACAGAGAGAGATCCTGCCTCAAAAATAAATTAAATTAAATAAAAATATGGATACTCAAATTTCACAGGCCAGGTGCGGTGGCTTACACCTATCATCTCAGCACTTTGGGAGGCCGCAGTGGGCAGATCGCTTGAGGTCAGGAGTTCAAGACTAGCTTGGCCAACATAACAAAACCCCATCTTTACTAAAAATGCAAACATTAGCTGGGCATGGTGGCGCTTGCCTGTAATCCCAACTACTCGGGAGGCTGAGGCAGGAGAATTGCTTGAACCTGGGAGGCAGAGGTTGCAGTGAGCCAAGATCGTGCCCCTGCACTCCAGCCTGGGTGACAGAGTGAAACTCGGTCTCAAAAAAAAAAAAGAAAAAAGAAAAAAAAATACACAGAGGTTTTATGGAGATCCAGTGGGATGATATCTGCCAAAGGTTTAGCCTAGTTCTTGGCAAGAAATAGTTGTTGAGCAAATGGTCCCTGCTGTGATGGCCAGCGTCCCCGCAACACATACACAGGCACAGTCTGTCCTGCCTTCCTTCAACAGGCTTATACGGAGCACCTACTCTGTGCCAGACCCTGCACCAGACATCAGCGACAGGGCAAGGAAATATACAGGTTGTCAGAACTGGAAGGGAACTTAGAGATTATCTTGCCTAGGACCTTCCCTTTACAGATGAGGAAACGGAGGCACAGGGCATTTCCAAGATTGCACAGCAGAACTAGAACTCAATCCAGGCTCCTGCTGCCCAGCTCCTTTCTTCTCCTGTCACACCTCATTGCCTCTCTGGTCTCCCCCACATACCCCCCAGATAGTCTTTTTTGGCCAGGAAGCAGGAGGACCATCTCCCACCCATGCCCGGCCCATGTGGCAGCTCCAGGGGCATCAGCCTCCTTGGACCTGTATGTCTTATCTGCTCAATGCTGCCAGACATTGAACTGAGGCCCCTGGAGGTCAGGAGCCTCCCTGCCTCTCTCATTCTCTCTCTCCCCTCCCTGGGCTCCCCTCTCCATGGGTCTGTGTCTCAGTGGCCCCACGGAGAACACCTACCATGCTTGTTCTTTTTCTGGTCCTCCTCTAGCCCAGGCACACCAGGGATCCCCAGGAAGGTGTTATGTGAGTTTCCGTACCACACCAGCAGTTCCTGGTCGGGTGGGATCATCTGCAGGGAAGGAGTCAAGAGGAGGTCAGGGAGGCAGCAGCTGGGAGGTGAGAGTTGGGGGTCTCTGAGCACCCCTTCACAGTCAGGAGACCTGGACCCAGTCTCAGCCCTGAGAAAGCCACACAGGCCCATTTCCACTGAGCTGTCCCGGCAAGCTGCATAAACACGGAAGACCCTGGGGTGTCAAACCCCTCTATCCCCCTCTCCCTGCCCAGGCCATCTCTGTCCATGCTCTGGCCACAGGAGAGCTTCCAAGCTGACAGCACGAGAATGGACACCTCACAGCAAGCAGAAGATGGAAAATTAGAAATCTTTTCAATTCTTACGCAGGAGAACTAGAGTCAGCCAGCCCCCGGGGCTGCAGGGTTGAGCCTGATATTTCCAAGAATTGTGGGCTGTGGGGCACCCTAGGGTACTTGGCTACACCCTGTGGGGATAATGTTCTGGAAACATCTCTTATCCAAAGCTTCCATAGACACCCCACATCACAGGTACTTCCCGACCAAGCACAGGGCTCTGAGTGTCTCCGTGCACATGGCAGATGCTAAAAAAGAAGCATTCGGATGGATGAACACCTCCACCCCAAGAAACATTGGGGTACACTGTCTTACACAGTCTAGTTCACCGCGTCCTAGGTCAATGACAGCGAACCCCACAAGTGATTTGGGGGCTCTGCTGCTCTCAGGGAGGACCTGCCCCAGGCTCATGGCAAAGGATGTTGGTCAGAGGATTTTGCAGTGATGATCCAGGGAGGCGTAAGGGGCCTGCTCCCGGGGTGGCACTGGCCATAAATACCACACGCTCCAGGACATCTCAAGGGGCCTGCCAGACCTCTCATGGAAGCCAGTTACCCCTCCCAAGTGGGGAAGCTCCAGGCCCTAGCCAGGCAGAGCGTATGAGAGAAGGGACAGCCTATCACTGTCCCGAGGCCTGGACCCCAGAAGTGCTGGCCTTGGCACCTGCCCCTGGGGGCCACTATCTGATGTGCCCAGAGAAACCCAGACACCCCCCGGCAACAGCTGTTTTGTTTTCCTGGAGGGTCCTTTATTAGGTGAAGCACAAAAGATCACATGGATTCCATCTAGAGGTGTCTGAAACCAGGCCAGGATCCCTCATTGGCTTCTGTGGTCAGAGACAAGGTCCCTTCTGTGTCTGTTTGCTTCATCCTGCAGAGCCCACACTCAGAACTCTGGCGTTCACTACGTCTTCCTTCCTCTGGTCAGAGCCTGGAAGACCCTCAGACCATTGCAGCAAGCTCTGCTCACCCTTGAAAAGAAGGGAACATGGAGGCCAGGCGTGGTCGCTCATGCCTGTAATCCTAGCACTTTGGGAGGCCGAAGCAGGTGGATTACTTGAGGCCAGGAGTTTGAGACTAGCCTGGGCAACATAGTAAAACCCTGTCTCTACAAAAAAATAGAACAATTAGCTAGGTGTGGTGGCGCATGCCTATAGTCCCAGCTACCTGGGAGGCTGAGGCAGAACTGCTTGAACCCAGGAGGCAGAGGTTGCAGTAAGCCGAGATTGCACCACTACACTCCAGCCTGGGTGACAGCGCAAGAGCCTGTCTCAAGGAAAAAAAAAAAAGAAGAAGAAGAAGAAGAAGGGGAGGTCGAAAGAGAAGGGGTGCGAACAGGAGGGTGTGAGGGGGTTTAGGCGACAGCCATCCTCCTGAGACTCAGCCTAGAGTCACCACATCCATTTCCTCATGCCCCCATGGTTCACAGGGCATCATGGCAAGCCTTAGGATCGGTAAGTGACGAGAAGCCAACGTGGAAACACCAAGTGCAGTCCCAGAAGCCACAGAAGGTGGTGTCCCAGATGGTGCCTCCCAGAAAGTGGACAGATTACAATCTGGCACCACAGCAAGAGTCCTGGTAATCTCTCTGCTCATTCATAGTCATGGCCACTGTCCAGGAGGCCAGCAGGTCAGAGGTGGTGGCCCCTGGTGGAAAGGGGCAGAGAAGAAAGAGGTTCTGATTTGGGTTGTTTTTTTTTCTCGTTTTTTTACACTTTTAAAAATTCTACTTTTTTCCCAGACCTCACCGGGATAGAAGGAAGAGGTTTTGTGAACCTCCCAGAAAAGCAGATGATGGCATTGAAATATTTAACATCAATTAATTGTGAAGGAAATCTGTCTACGGGATAGTGCAGATGAGCCCTCTGTCACCAGGTCCCTGTGTGACCTTAGGCAAGTCACTTTGCTTTTTGTGCTCCTCAAATGAGGGGGTCAGGGAACATGGTCCCTGAGTTCCCTCCAACTCTAAGACTGGTTGTAAGTCACCTCCAACGTTGTCCCGACCTTTGGCTTCCAGTCTTGTATGAAACCAGACACGTTGATGTCGTGGTTCTTCCAAAGCAATCAGCACCCTCCCCCGGACGGCTGAAGACGCCCCACAGAGGGTTCCTGCCCAGTCTGGAGTCAGACATATTGGGGTCCACTAGGCTCCCCATCTGCTGAGCAAGTGACCTTGGGCAAGTTGCCTCACCTCGTGGGGCTTGTTTCCTCACATTGCCATGGCCTCACTGAGTGGTTTTTGGGGTGCAGCGGAGCCATATGCATAAAGCTCTTTGCATAATCGAGACATGGAAGCGCCAGTGATTGTTTTCCTGGAGTCCACCAACCTCTCAGAGAAGCTGGCAGCGGTTTCTGGCACATCCAACTCTCCGCAGGAATGCTCGCTGAGCCAGCAGAGTTGCAGAGGCCACTGGTTCGGTGGAAGCCCAGGGTGACCAGGGTTCTGCCGTCAGTGTCCAGCAAGAACACAACCTGGGCCCGAATGCCCCAAAGACACCAGCCCCATGCAGGTACCCCCACTTCCCAGCCCCATCTCCCCCAGAAGAGAAGTCAACTCCTCCAGCACAGATGTGGGATGAGATGGTAGGCTCAGCGAGCCCCCAGTGGAACTCCACCTCCAAGTTCCAGGCCTGGGGGTCATCAAATACTAAGCCAACTTCAGCCTTTTAGTTTTAATTGAAAACAACTACTATGAAATATAAAATAAATACAATAACAGTCAGCTGGGTGCAGTGGCTTATGCCTGTAACCCCAGCACTTTGGGAGGCCGAGGCGGGCAGATCACTTGAGGTCAGGAGTTTCAGACGAGCCTGGCCAACATGGCGAAATGCCATTTCTGCTAAAAATACAAAAATTAGCCGGGCATGGTGTGTGCGCCTGTAATCCCAGCTGCTCAGGAGGCTGAGGCAGGAGAATCGCCTGAACTCGGGAGGCAAAGGTTGCAGTGAGCTGAGATCGCGCCACTGCACTCCAGTCCAGCCAACAGAGTGGAACTCCATCTCAAAAAATAAATAAATAAAATAAAATAAGAACTCTAATGGCAACAATTGCAGCATAAGGGTGAGTCATTTATTTACTAAGAATGCTTTTAATGTACTAAAATTAATTTTACTAATGAATTTAAAACTTAAAACAGCGATGCAGACATGTGGACCAAATTGTATAAACATATAACGCGGTATAAAATGAGAAGTCATTCTCTGCCACTCTGGATGCCAGCCACTGTCGCTGGTTTGCTGCTTGTCTTTCCCAAGACAAGATGGGTTTGCCATTTTGAGACTATTTTAAAATGCTGACTTAAGGTTCATGGAGAGTAGCATGATGCCATCTACATCATGCCTCTGACTTTTTAAAAAATAATGAGCACGTATTACTTCTGGACACACACACACATTATTTTTTAAAAGCAAGAAAATCAATTAAGAAAAGCCTACAGGTTGGGTGCGGTGGGTCTCACCTGTAATCCCAGCATTTTGAGAGGCCGAGGTGGGTGGATCACTTGAGGCCAGGGGTTCAAGACCAGCCTGGCCAACATGGTGAAACCCTGTTTCTACTAAAAATACAAAAATGGGGCTGGGCACTGTGACTCACACCTGTAATCCCAGCACTTTGGGAGGCCGAAGCGGGTGGATAACGAGGTCAGGAGTTTGAGATCAGCCTGGCTAACATAGTGAAACCCCGTCTCTACTAAAAATACAAAAATTAGCTGGGTGTGGTGGCACACAACTGTAGTCCTAGCTACTCGGGAGGCTGAGGCAGGAGAATCTCTTGAACCCAGGAGGCAGAGGTTGCAGTGAGCCGAGATGGCACCATTGCACTTCAGCCTGGGAGACAGAGCAAGACTCTGTCTCAAAAAAAAAAAAAAAAAAAAAAAAGAAAGAAAAAGAAAAAGAAAGGAAGAAAGAAAGAAAGAAAAAGAAAGAAGAAAAAATAATGGCCAGACTTGGTGGCTCACACCTGTAATCCCAGCACTTTGGGAGGCCAAGGTCGGCGAATCACCTGAGGTCGGGAGTTGGAGACCAGCCTGACCAACATGGAGAAACCCTGTGTCTACTTAAAATACAAAATTAGCCGGGAGTGGTGGTGCATGCCTGTAATCCCAGCTACTCAGGAGGCTGAGGCAGGAGAATCGCTTGAATCCAGGAGGCGGAGGTTGTGGTGAGCCAAGATGGCACCACTGCACTCCAGCCTGGGCAACAAGAGCGAAACTCCATCTCAAAAAACAAAAAAATTAGCCAGGAGTGGTGGCACGTGCCTGTACTCCCATCTATCCAGGTGGCTGAGGCACGAGAATTGTTTAATCACCTGAACCCAGGAGGCGGAGGTTGTAGTGAGCTCAGCACTCCGGCCTCAGAGACAGAGGAAGATTGTCTTCAAAAGAAAAAATAAAAAAAAAGAGCCTGCTGGAATTGAGAATGGCACATATTTCCAGACAGCTAGAAGCCAGCAACCCCACCTGCCCAGAGGCTGGGAACTGGGAGTCTCTCTCAGCCCTTCTGTGCCCAGTGCCCAGGCCTCTGGTGTCTGCCTGCACCCAGGCATCCGCCATCAACAAACTTCTACTATCAAACCCAGGAAACCCAGGAACCTGCAGCTTCTTCCCTGGAACCCTGGGATCACTGTGCAGAGGCTCCTGGGGTCCCACCCGCTGACTGCCTGGATGCAGAGAACAGCCACCATGCCCTCTGGGCGCCCTTGGCAGCACTCTCTACTGCTGAGACTCAGGCCTGGCCTGGCAGGCCGGGGCTCTCTGCTGGGGCTGGGAGAAGCAGGATCAGTTGGTCATTCACTTTTTAGGGGAGCAGGAAAAGGCTCAGGACACAAAACAAACAAAGCAATTCCCAAAGGAACTGAGTCCTGTACCACAAAAGCCACATCAGCAGAACTCTGGAATACCAGTGCCTGGGTCTCTTTCGACAAATGGACATGCCCTCTCAACGTGCTTCTCTGAGCCCTATCAGCCCAGAAGGTCTGTCCTGCCCCACTTTCTCAATTTTTTTTTTTTTTTTTGAGACAGAGTCTCGCTCTGTAGCCCAGGCTGGAGTGCAGTGGCCGGATCTGAGCTCACTGCAAGCTCCGCCTCCCGGGTTCACACCATTCTCCAGCCTCAGCCTCCCGAATAGCTGGGACTACAGGCGCCTGCCACCTCGCCCGGCTAGTTTTTTGTACTTTTTAGTAGAGACGGGGTTTCACCATGTTAGCCAGGATGGTCTCGATCTCCTGACCTCGTGATCCACCCGTCTCGGCCTCCCAAAGTGCTGGGATTACAGGCTTGAGCCACCGCACCCGGCCCATCTCAATTTTTATTATAAATTGGAAATGAGAGAATTTGGGGTTTGTTTTCCTGCTGTAAATTCATATCCTGCCACTGAACATGCTCCCAGGAGACTGCAAATACCCTCCCCTTCTCCACAGGCTCTGAAGCCCTAGTGTAAAAGGATCTCAATGTCTTCTGGACAAACATCAATTTCCATTGTACCACAGATGTCCTGACACACCAATTAATAGAGTTCCAGCAAATAGATATTGGCCAGGGAGGCCACATGGTAGGGTGACTCAGCGCTCCAGCTCTGGGCTCAGACGGGCCTGGGTTCCCATCGCAACTCAGCAACTTCCCGTAATCTCCCTAACATTTCAGTTTCACCGTGATAAAAATGAGGATAGTAACAGAGAGCAGCACTCTGAGGGCTATTTTTTTTTTTTAAGTTGTTGGCCAGATGCAGTGGCTTATACCTGTAATCCCAGCACTTTGGGAGGCCGAGGCAGGCGGATCACCTGAGGTCAGGAGTCCGAGACCAGCCTGGCCAACATGGTGAAATCTACTGAAAATACAAAAATTAGCCAGGCATGGTGGCGCACGCCTGTAATCTCAGCTGCTTGGGAGGCAGGAGAATTGCTTGAACCCGGGAGGCGGAGATTGCAATGAGCCAAGATTGCACCACTGCATCCAGCCTGGACAACAGAGTAAGACTCCATCTCAAAAAAAAAAATAAAATAAAATAAAAATAAATAAATAAATAAAATGTAAAAGTTGCTAAGACCCTTTTAATCCTTCAACATTTAGTGGCCACTTGGTATGTGCTAGGTACTTTCTAGAACTGTCATTTTAGGCACCTGAAGTTATAGTAAATTCTGTGACTGGAGTAAGCCGGGAGGTTCCCCAGGAGTCACATTAGTGGATCCAACCAGACGCACGCCCTGCTTGGGTGCCTCCACTGACTGCCTGAGCTCTAAAACCCTATTGCCTTCGTTTCTGTTGAGAAGGCTGTTATTCTGTACTTATGGAAAGTTTTAGAGCAGCAATAGCATATTCTGCTTATTGAATAAAGATGTTCCTTACTATTTTTGGCAAGTAATGGGTTACTGTTATGAAATATGAGCGGCAGTTCTGAGTGGCAGAAAGTTTAAGAAAACATCACAGCAGAGGTCCTTCTCCTTGGCTAACTCATCCACACACACAGAATAAACAGCCGATTGATTCCCAAGTCGTCCAGGGAGTGGCCTGGGGAACAGCAGCATCTTCTCGTCTAGCCTACAAGGGCTGCGTGAGCTCTGGGCCTCAGCCTCATCTCGAGGGTGGCCACATACACCCAGACACACAGTTTATCTGGTAAGTGGAATCTGACATTGTGACAAAATGATTTGAGAAATCTGCCACCACAAAAAATATATCCAACTTTAAAAGTAAAATGGGTAGCATTTTGCTTCCTTGTCATTCACACAAACAGTCCCTTCTTAGAAGTCTTGCTAACTCTGTAAAAGCATTGACAGCCAAACTGGTGGATCTGTCTATATCACATATGTTATCACATATCTATACCTATACCGTGTGTGTGTGTGTGTGTGTGTGTGTGTTCTGATCCTCTTTTTTTGGTTGTCGTTGTTGAGACAGAGTCTCGCTTTGTCACCCAGGCTGGAGTGCTATGCTGCTGATAGCTCACTACAACCTCCGCCTCCTGGGTTCAAGCAATTCTCCTGCCCCAGCTCCGGAGTAGCTGGGATTACAGGCACCTGCCACCACGCCCGGCTAGTTTTTGTGTTTTTAGTAGAGATGGGGTTTCACCATGTTGGCCAGGCTGATCTTACACTCCTGACCTCAAGTGATTTGTCCACCTCATCCTCTGAAAATGCTGCGATTACAGGCGTGAGCCACCATGCTCTGCCTGATCCTCTTTTTTCAATTTAAATTCCTGATCGAATGTAGATGACATTTTTCCTAATCCTATAAACTCAGTTGCTTCCCTGAAGATATTCTTCAGCCTCCTTGACCTCGGACTGAATTTCTGTCTGAATGTCTATTCATGTTCCCTGACTTTGTTTGGCTTCTAGCCGGTGTGACCTGCACAGAGAGATGAGACCCCGGCCCCCACATCTGCCTCAGCCTGGAGTCCTCTTGCCAAAATGATGTAGGCATTTCTGGTCTGTCTCTTGTGTTCACATGTGTGGGCATGTGTGTGCGTATGGGGTTGGTGAGGGGATAGATGGGAGTCCTCCATCACATCTGTACCAGGATGGCTGGGAAGGAGGGTATGAAGGTGAAGATGTATGTGACAGGGTGGTGGGGTGAGGATCTGGGAGGGTGCATTCTGTTAGATGTGGGGTTCAGCCGCACTGGAAGCCAGTTTTAGGATGCGGTGGCCCAGTCAGATGGTCAAGGAGCCACCTCTGTCCTGGGCCTACACTACCTTCAGTCCTCTCTACACCCTGCCCCACGGCCGTCTTACCTCACTTGAAACCCAATCCAGGAACCGCTCAGCTTTTTTTTTATCCTCCACCTCCCGCTCCTCCAAGCACCACCCCTCAGCTGGGACCCAGGCTAGTCCCCCTGCTGTCACCTCTGGGAGAGTCCCTAGGGCCTTATTATTCAGGAACAACCAAAGAAACCCATCCCAGAAGCTACTAGGCCCTGGCACCCCCAGGGGTCTTAGAAAGAGCTTCAGGGTCTGAGTTCTGGGGAGAAAATGGAACATGGACTAAAGGTGAGTCGCTCTCTGCTCCTACAGAACACCCGAAAATCTCCATCAAGCCCCAGCCCCACCCCAAGGGGAGCAGGGAAGTGTGGTGGGAAGCGCCTGACCGCCTCTATACAGCACTTGCTACCAGTCTACCCCCAGCAGCCGGTGGGTACGTGGGCAGCTTCCCTCTACTCCTGGGCCAGATTTCTCGCCAAAGGACACTGTCCATGGAGGGTCCCAGTGTGGGCCTGCCGGGGTGACCACCTCTCTGCTTGGTTTGCACCCTCTGCCACTGCCCAGACACCTGGATCTTTTCTGCCTCTGCCCAAGCACTGCCCTACCAGGAAACTCTCCTCTTCCCATCCTCCTCTGAACCTTCCTGGCTCAGCCTCATATCTGCCACACCACAGGAAGTGATATTTACCTGCTGTCTTTTTTTTTTTTTTTTTTTTTTTTGAGATGGAGTCTCATTGTGTTGCCCAGGCTGGAGTGCAGTGGCGTGATCTCGGCTCACTGCAACCTCTGCCTTCCTGGTTCAAGCAATTCTCATGCCTTAGCCTCCTCAGTAGCTGAGATTACAGGTGCCCACCACCACGCCCTGCTAATTTTTGTATTTTTATTAGAGATAAGGTCTCACCACGTTGGCCAGGCTGGTCTTGAACTCCTGACCTCAGGTAATTCACTCACCTCGGCCTCCCAAAGTGCTGGGATTACAGGCATAAGCCACCGTGTTCAGCCTGTTTCCTGGCCCTGTCTGTCTCCTCTGAGACGGCTCAGGAAGCGCAGCTATTAGTGCTAACAGTCTCCCCAGATGGCCTGCAAAACCCCCAAGTCTGCTGCCTCCAAGGGAGACCTGGTTTTCTGGTCCGTAAACTGTAAATAATCACAGAGTCCTCCTCCTGGGGCCGCGTGGGGATTAAATACCGTACTGCATATCCACATCTGGGAGAAGCCTGACACACGGGAAGCCATCGCTGAGACTGGAGTCATGAGCCGTAAGCCACTGGTGCCCACGCACGCAGAATGAGGGCCATCAGACCGCTAAATGGCTGCAGACACACACCCTCTCTTCCACCCCAACTCGTTCCCTGGGCTACCTCTCCCCATCTTGCTTCTCTGTGCCTCTGTGACCCCTGAACATCGGGACACCCTCAGCCAACATCCGGGGACCTCACTATTGGGATGCTCGTGACATTCCCAATGGCATCAAGTTGAGAGCCCTATCCTTTCTGATGTGCAGCAGAAAGCTTCCCATGGAGGTCACACACCTGGAGAGCGGGGTGTCTGGAGACCACCTGTCTGCTGTAGCCCCATGGCCTGAGCAAAGCCAGCGAGGCCAGTGTCAGCTCCCCCTCTGTCCACTGTGGTTCCCGGACATCGCTGCCCTGCACACCTCCCCACACCGGGTTTACCAGCTGGTCCCTACACAACAGTGCACACACACACACCTCAATGGCCTTGTAGAAGATGCTGGTGCCGATCTGGACCACCTCTAGGTTTTGCTCTTGCTCGTTACGTGCACACTTGATGTAGGTCATCCAGCTCCGGTGGTCCTCTTGGCTGGCATCTATGAAGTAGCGCACCGTGCCATCCTCATTGAACACCTGGGCACAGATGGATCAAGGACCAGATAAGGCAGGGCTATGTCATGTGTACAATCTTCCAGGCACTTCCACACACACACTCTCCATCCTCACAACAGCCCCAGGAAGTGGATAAAGCTTCATTTTCCCACTGAGGAAAGGAAGGCTAGAGAGATTCAGGGACTTGCTTGAGGCTACCCTGTTGGAAGTGGCCCACAGGGGGTCAGTCTCCAGGGCCCTATGGGCTGACCATGATATACGCTCCTGTTGCCACGTCCTCCCTACCCCCAGAAGAAAAGGGTCTCCAAGGATCACTGCTCAGACAAAGTGGCCCTGAGCTATTTCAAGGGATGCAGAGGTGCTCCCCATGGCACTGGGAACATCAGCCAGGACCTCAGAGAGGGAGGATCCTGGAGCTCAGGGAGGAGGGCTGGCTCGCTGTGGCACTCCAGTTTGGCCTAAACTCCTTCACGCAAGCTGCCAAGGCCACTCGGAGGTCATACTGGACCCCAACTTCCTGACCCAGCAACTGGAGAGTGTGGTTAGTGGTGCAGCCCTCCAGAGGAGGGAGAAGATGAGGTCAAGAGAGGCCTCTGGGCCATCCCCCAGTTCTATAAAGTTGGGCTTCTCCAGGGTCCACCAGGAGGGGCCTGGAGTAGGGGAGCAGGTGAGGGAATGGGATTAGGAAGGGTGTGCACCAGTCTGGCACACTGGTTTCCCATTCTGCAAGGTTAGGAGGAAGCACAGGGGTGGCCCTCCCTGGCACTGTCACTGTCATGGGTGGAAAGGCCTAGGATGGAAGCCTCTTGGAGCTTCCGTTTCCCTCGGTAAAAAGGGAACAGTAAGGCATGGGCTGCTGAGGTCATCCATGACTGCAGGCTGGGGGCACAGAAGATGACTCAGTGCCAGCTCAGCCACGGTCATCGGGAATGTCATTCTGCCTTCACCAGGCATTCTCCTTTCCAGCCCCACCTCACCCCCAGCCCAGGACTGGCCTTGAGGGGCTTCCCAGGCTGCTTCCCGGACCAGGGAAAGAATGTAAGTAGCTGGTAGGTACCCTGGAGGGAGGGAACGTGGGGACCCTGGGCAAGCCACCTGACTGCTCTGGGTCTCAGTGCCCTCATCTGCCAAGTGGAGCCAACCACAGTCCTGCTCTGCCGGGTGTCCGGAGGAAGGAGGGTCAGATTTTCCGTGCCTTCTCGGCACGGGTTGGGAGGCGCCTAGAGGTGGGGTGAGCTCCAGGCTGGGGCGGCTTAGAGTCCCGGCTCAGGGGGCGTCCAGGCGGGGAGTGTCCGCTGCTTCCTGCCTGGTGGAAGCGGCGACCGCCGGACACCGCAGTCCCACCCGTGGCCAGCGCCCCTCGCAGGTCCCTGCGCCCCTCTGCCCCAGCCCGCGCGCACTTACCTCCCACATGAGGTTGTTGTTCTTGCAGATGTCCACGTGCTCCGGGGCGATCACGCGGCCGGTGAAGGGGCCCATCTCGGTGCCCGCCTTGATCCACGTCTTGGAGAAGATGCCGAGGCCCTCGCCAGGGATGGAGCTCTGAGCGATGATCACCTCCGCCGGCAGCACCAGGCTGGACAGCTTCTGCACTTCTGTGGCGGCAGGGCCAGGAAAACCGGTCAGAGCCCGAGGCAGCCAAGGACCGGCCCTTCCTTCCCTGTCGGGACCCCGGCTTCGGTCCTGCCCAGACCGGCCAAACCCAAGTCGGCCCCACATCCAGAGAAGCCACCCGGGTGTTGGGGGCAGTCGGATGTGCAGAGGCTCAAGGACCTCTCCTCTGTTTGCAACCTGGGGACCCTCCGTGCCCTGGAAAGCGAGTGGTGCGTTGGGGATCGTTTTTAGAAGCGGGTTTTTAGTCTCTCCGCGAATTCTCAAAGCATTCACAACTTCTTCGCTCTCTGCCCCGGATAAGTTTAAGAATTAATGAGCCAACGGCAGCGAGCGGTTTTATGCACGGGAGAACTGAGGCCAGGTCCTGCAAGGAGGTGAAGGCCAACCGGAGACTCTTTCGCCTAGTCGGGTTCCAGGAGCCCACTGTGCGTCCAGGCTCCGGGCACTGGCAGAGGACCCAGTGATCAGTGCTGGGGACAGACCTCGGGCTGGCAGGTGTTGGAGGTGCCAAAGCAGCACCGGTAGCAGCTGGCCAGGCTCCGCGCTCGCTGTGTGACCTCGGGCGCGCCCGAGTCCCTTTCTGCTCCCAGGCCGTAGGGTGCCAGGGAGGGCGGCGCCCGGGCTCAGACAAGCCCCGATGTCTTCTCTCTGGGCGGGGAGGAGCCGCGGCGGCCCCCAGCTCCCCGAGGGTTCTCCTGTCGGGCCTCTGCGGCCGGGCTGGGAGCGGCGAGGCGTACAGGGGCGGCCTCCATGTCTTACAAGGTTCCCCTCTAAGCTACCTGGGAAAATACCCGGCGAGCGGGCCGGCTGAAAGGGGGGGTTAAACGGTGTCCATTGCGGCGCGGCCGGCAATTTGTCACGCTGTTAAAGTGATCGCATTCATTCGGCTCCATTCGAAAGAAATTGCTAATTCTAAATTCATTAGCCCTGGAAGAATGCTGTAGCAGTAAATTGTAGCTCAATGCGGAGGGGACTTGTTTAAAAGGGGCCGAGGAATTCCCCTTACAAAAAGGGGGGATTAGATGGTTGACATAGCGTGAATGGAAGTGGAATTAGTCTTCACGGTAAATTAAGAGAGGAACAGAAATCGTAAAGGGGGAAAAGAGGGCGACGCGCAGAGATGCCAGAGCCAGGGAAAGATATTGTTTGCGGGTTGATGAATGAGGAATAAGAACTTGAGACATCTTAAAGAAAAGAAACTTTTCTCGCTCTCTCTTTCTCTCCCCCGCTCTCCCCGCGGCTTTTTCTCCCCGCCCGCCCTCCCTCCACCCCATCCCCAGCCCCGGCTGCCTTTTAAAGTTCTTGGTTTAAGTGGGAACTTTCGCGGGTCAAGCCCAAGTTAACTAAATGAATTTAAAACCCCTTCTTTTTGAGTCAACTGCTATTACACGCCTAGTAAGGCTTTAAATGCCAGGAACCCGCCAGCTCAAGCGCGGGAGGGGAAAGGAGGGGCCGGCGGGGGCGACGGAGCCGAGCGACGGGGTCGCCGGGCTCGGTCCTTGAGCCGTGTGGACTGCGGAGCTGCCCCGCGCCCCACCTCGGCTTGGTGGCTCGCGTCCTTGTTTGGCCCATGGGGAAACTGAGGTGCACGGAGCGCCGGGAGCACCCAGGTTGGCACAAGCAGCAGAGAGGCCGGGTATCCCAGCCGCGTCTCGCGCATCGCCAGGACGGGAATGGGGGTCGCAGGGAGGAGGGATTGCGCCAGGCCCCGACGGCTTGACTCACCGCCGGAGAAGGACTGTGCCAGCACCTCGGCGGTGAAGGCCGTCTTGGGGCTGGCGTGGTGGCTCTTGTCCTCGAAGAGCTGCTCCCCGAGCACGTTGCGCCAGCGGCCGTACAGGAAGCTGTGCAGGATGTCGGAGGTGATGACCTCGGCCAGCGCCAGTCCCGGCGCCTTCAGCCCTGTCTTGAGCACCAGGGCCTCAGCCGGGAGCACGGAGCCCATCATGGGCGGCCCGGAGCTCCCCGGCGCCGGGGGACGGCCGGGCCGATGGGGGAGGTGGGTGGGCGAGAGGGGAGCCCAAGGGCGAGAGGAGAGGGCTGCGATGAAGAAGGAACCAGAGCAGGGGGAGGACGGAGAGGAGGAGGACGCAGGAGGGAGTGGGAGGTGAGGGGGCGACTGGGAGGAAAGTGAACAAGGGGGAGAGAGGAAGAGAGATGGTGAAATCTGCAGAGATGGCAAAGGAGGCGCGGAGGGTGGAGAGACGCGGGTGGAGGCGGAGGCGGGTGCGGGGGGTGCGGGGTGGGAGAGAGGCGGGTGGTTGCAGGGAAGCGGCAGCAAGGGGCTCTCAGACGCGCGCTAGCCTCTCGCACACTCGGCCGGGGCCGTCTTCCCCTTGGCAAAATCTCAGCGCCTTTATAGGAGCCGCAGTGACCCTCCTAATTGGTTATTAATGACCCCCTGACGTCGGAGGACAGACTTGTTGTACCCGGCCGGGCTTGAGGAGCCTTCGTCGCGAAAGCTCGAGGGGCGGGGGCGCGCGGACCGCTCCGAACAGTCCCCCTCCACTCCTCCCTCCCCTTCCTGGTCCTTCCTTCCCCCTCCTGTTTTTTCTTCTCTCCCCGTGGGAAGCGCCGGGCAGGGAGGGAGGTTCAGCCGGCTGTGAGGAGAGGAGGGGATGGAGCAGGGGAGGGGGTGCGGCGAGGCTCGCCAGGACTCCAGGGAACGGGCTGGACAAGAGGGGACGCCTGGCTTCGGGCCCCGCGCTCCCCTCAGGCCGGATCCACGCTCACCTGCCTGGCCCAACCCGGTGTTCACCTTTCCTCTGCTGCCCCGGCCGGCCGGCCCAGCCCGGCACAGCTCTCCCTCCCTGGCCAGGGCCCGCGTCCTCTTCCCTCCCCGGCCCTACACTCCCCTGGCCACCACAGTCGCCCCGAGCTCGCGCGCAGCCCCAGTTGCCACGCGGATCTCCTGCTCAGACTGCGCTGCTGAAGCCGGCGCTTCGCTTCAAACGGGCCGCACCAACTAGCTCCCTGTGCGCAGTCGGGTGCGAAACTCCTCCGCGGGCTCACCCGGCTGCCTAGGCGGGGCTGCAGCCGTCGTCGGGGCTGGGGCTGGTCCCGGCCTGAGACAGCTTCGTGGGCGGCCAGGCTTCTGGCTCTTGAGGGGCCAGATCCAGGGTTGAGATGGGCGGACGGGAATCGCCCTGGCAGCCTGTCTCTGGGAAAAGAATTTCCTACGGGATATAGGGGGATTGAAAGGGGTCCCGAGACCGTTCCTAGGTGGGAGCAGGCGTGCCTGAGAGCGAAGTCCCTCCGAAACTGCAGGCAGCTCCGCGAGTGGCCTCAGTGCGGGTTCGGCTTGCGACTCGGCCTTGGGGCTCCTTGCTGAACTGCAACCTCGGGAAGCCCGTGGCGTTGCGGCGCCCCTTCCTTCTTGCCTCCTAGTTCTTTCTTTCTCCTCTGCCTCTCTCTTCTTTCCCTTTCTCCCCTCTATTCCTCCTGCCCATCACCCCAGGAGTAGACTTGCTTTGCGGCGGTTTTGAGGCACCTCGGAGCCCAGCGATCCCCTCTCCCGAAGCAGGGAGCTGCTGAGCCGGGCGGAAAGCCCACGCTTCCTGCAGGTTTCGCCGCTCCCCAGTGTCAGCCTCAAGCCTCGGACCCCAGGTCCTGACATGCTGGGTGAGGGGGCTCATCCCACCTGCCGCACTTCTGGCTCCCACCACAAGGCTACAATTTCAGATGCCACTAACCGAGGTGCCTGGACTCTCTCGGCGTGGGTCAGGCTCACGGGTCAGTCTCCGATGGACAGTGTGGACTCCCCAGACCTTCTCCGCAGCGTGGAGGACTTGGGTGGAAGGACAGCGAGCTGACCTCCCATAAGCGAGACCCTGTCTTAACGCCTCTTGGCATAGAGGCCCTTCCACCACCCGGACGCGCCTTGGCTAAGAAGGCCTCACACCTGGCGGCCAGACTCCAGACCCCTGGTCCCCAGTTCCTGCCGGTAGTCTCCGGCATCCCCCGTCCCCGTTGGCACGCAAAGGGAGGAAGGCGGCGGTAGCTGGCCTTCAGACCTGGCGCCTGGGTCCGCCCGAGGCTGGCGCCCAGGGAAAGGAACACCTGGCAGAAGGCAGGACCGTTGGGCAGGGCGCCAGCAGAGGGCAGCCCTGCTGAGGAGGGGGGTGGGTTACGGTCCCCGAACCCTCCACTCATTTTCCGACGCAGCCTGCGGGTCACATCGGCTCCCTGGCCAGAGCTGGAGTCTGAGGGGGCGTCTGCAGTCCGATGGCTCCTGCAGGGGACCCTCACCTGCGCCTACTTCTTGGCTTCTAGGAAGACCTAGGTGGAGAGGAGAAAGTGCTGGGAGCGAGGGAGACGATGTCGGGGAGCGCTGCCAGGAGCCAAGCGCTGCGGCAGCTCCCAAGCCCCGAAAGCGACCTCAGTTCCTCCAGCAACCCAAATGGGGATAAGAAGTGCTGTGTGTCCCGTGGACTGCCCCTTTCCTCTGTGAGCCTCAGGGTCCCTGTCTGTGCAATGGTTTGAGTTGGACTTTGTGAACTGAGGTTTCTTTGCTTGGTCTCACTTTGGGTAAGATCACTTTCCCCCACGACAATCCCGAGGATTTTGCCCTCTCCAGGGCCACGTCCCACTGCGGGAAGCCCTCAGGTCCGTGCACCCTCCGTGCTGGGGCGCAGCGTTTGGGTCCTGAACCTCGGCTTAGAGTCAGAGGCTTGGATTCCGCTGGCGCAGTGACCACAGGCTCGGACTGCGGCCAGTTGAGTCCCATTCCTCTCCTCCGGACCCTCAAACCCGGGGAGCAGTGCTGGGAGCGCGGCGGAAGCGGAGCCCAGAACAGCCTCCCAGCTGGTGCGCCGAGACCTCCACCGTGCTCACATTTTGTGCTTTTAGTCTAGCCGCAAACCCACCTGGACCCCCGCCCGGGGAAAAAGGAGCCTGTTGGTAGCGCCCAGTCTCAAGGTGCATTGAAATAGGCAGCAAGACCCTGGGCTTGCATCTCCCCGGGAGGAGATTTAGAGGGGAAACATTCCGGGCTTTCCCAGCGGATAACCCATGTCATTTTGTCATTTTCCGCGGGGCCCAGGCGCGGAATCTGCTCGCGCAAAAGCCCCCTCCCCTCGGCCGGGCCGGAGCTCGCAGGCACTGTCGCCCCCCTCGCCCGCTGGCCGCCACTTGGCGATCTCTTTAATATTCATGGGCGTTAATAGAGAGGCCCCCAGTATATCGGTCCATTGTGGGCGGCTCGTAGGACTTGAATAGGCCTCGGCCCCCTTTCTTCGGCGCGGCTTCCCGAGGGGCCGGGCCAGGAGTGAATGGCCCCGCTTCCCGCTCCGCGCCCCCTCCCCCTTTCAGGGAGAACATCTTTATCCTCATCGCCGCCGCTGCCGCCGCCGCCCGGGCCCCCATTCACGCGGCCCCGGCTCCGGGCGGAACGAATCAATTTGCCGCGGCTCTTCGGAGGTCATCCTCGCCGCCCGGGTACCCCCTTCCCCCGAGCCCACGGGAGTGTGAGAGGGCCGCCGCGGCAGGCTGACGGCCCCACGGAGGGACATTGAAGGGGAAGTGGAGGAGAAGAGCAGGGGTAGATCCGGAGGGCTGGTCGGGCCGGGGCGGGCAAGACAGGCTCAGGGCCCGGCAGCCACCCAGGGTCGGCTAATTTCTACTTGTTGCCTCGCGCAGGGCGGAGCGCCGAGGGGAAGGAGGCCGCGGCCCAAGCCCGGAGGTCCGTCCGGCCTCCCCTCGAGGCACCAGCGCGTGTCCCTTCGGCCTGGCTGAGGCACCTATGAGACCGGGGGCGTGTGGGACAGCCCAGGGTTTCCCCGGCCCCGCGCCCCAGCCTGCACGACGCTTTCGTTCTCGCCAGTGCGCCGGGGCTCAGCTCCGGGACGGCCAGGTTGCGACAGTGCCCTTCAAGGGGACGCTCGGAGGGGCTGCCGGCTTCGCGGCTCCTGCACCCTAGCTCTGGGGCCCCTGCCTGGGTGCGGGGGAGGGGGGTGCGAGTCGGTCAGGCCGGACCAAAGCGCACGGGTCCCCGCCCCGCTCGCCTCGCCGGCTCTCAGAGGCGCAGAAAGAAGCCCATTGTCCGCCGAGAAATACATTTTTGGGGGCCGAGTGAAAGCCTGTCTTTCTTTTGAACTTTAGAAGAAAGTCTCCTGTTCTCGCCCCTCGGAGGGAGAGATTTGTGCCCCCTCCCGGGAGCTCCTCGCGCCTCCTTCTCCTGAAACATCTGCCGGGGGAAAATCCACCCTGGAGGGCAGATCGCGCTCGCTTTAAGCCTGGCGAACTCATTAAAAAGATATTAGCGGCGGGGTCAGGTCCCGCGCAGGTATCGATCGGCCGGAATGAGCCCCAGGAAGAAAAGGCGAAGAATGCGCCCGCGCCGCGCTCAGACGCCCACCGGCCCCGCCCAGCCTCCGCGCCCCAGCCCCGCATAGGGAGAGGGGCCACCGCGCCGCCTCGCGCTGTCCGTGAGTCCCGCGGCCCGCGGTCCTGCCGCCCCCGCGGGCTCGTCGGCACAGCCCGGGCGCAGCCACTCGACAACCCTCCCCTGCCCATGCCGCCCTCCGTCCTGGCTTCCCCCGCGCACAGGTTCTCGTCCGCTCCCCTCCTCCGCCAGCTGCCGTCGCGCGCCCAGCAGCCGCGTCTCTCTTCTCCTCCTCTCCTTCTCTTCCTCCTTCCCCCGCGCTCCCCTCTTTCGCTGGCGCTCCGGCCCCCACTCCAGCTTCTCACACCCTCTCCGCTTCCTCCTCACACGTCTCTCTCTGGCTTTCTGAGCCTCAATCTTTCTTGTTCCCATTATCGCAATGGCCCAGGAAATTCCTTCCTCGCGTGCGGCCCGCGCCGCTCCCCGCCCCCAACACCCTGTTCCCCGTAGGACGGTTCAGGGCTCCAGGGCGCCCCCGCCGGCGCGTACAAAGGTGCCGGTGGGCTGCCTAGGTGGTGGGGGCGAGGCCGAAGAAACGGTTTCAACAGACGTGACTAGGGGCCGGG